CCCTTTTTTCCAAGATCATTATCATTTAAGGAAAACGAGCGTGCCTTATCAGCTGATCTTGGAGTATACATTAGAGTATGTAGGCCACTCGCAGTGAGTTGAGGAAGTGAGCAACATTGCAAATAAAGGTGGAATTCGCTTACTTTCAAACTTAGTATTATAGTAACACGATGTATGAATATTCTCACAATCATGATACAGAGAGAAGTCTGTCCTTTGTTGCAAAAACAGTGATAGAGGAAAATTGATAACAATTTACCCTGAACTGTTTTAGTAACTTGCAAGAGCTACAGTCTTTATATTTTGGGTGATGTTTCATTATTGCAATGCTGGATGCAATTGAATTACACAGTACACACGAATCCCTTGCGAATAGCAGGCGTCAACACACTTTCAGATGTCATGGGTGATTGGAGTGAACACAGTTCCATGACGAGACGATGGTTCAAAATGTACTTGTTAAACAGTTTGTGTCTAGTTAAGAATAATTCTTATTAATTCTTCTCATCCTTGATAAATGTGCTTATCTAGTTTTTATAGTCTAACAGAATATAAATGATTCTGCCTATCCCTGACCTTAGGGAAGGGGCGAAGGAAGACTGTGAAGGATGTATTCGGGTGGCTGGATATCCTATTCTGAACTAAATTCACCTTACTGGCATATAGCATGAGGGATCAGTGCGTCCTTGGCATGGAACTGGATACCCGCCCTGGAAGCGGCTTTCACAGTCAAGAGCTTGGGTGGTTCTCGTGGTGAGGTCATCATCTAAGAGACAGAAATAGAAAGTCATTCAGGTATATTCAGAAGAAGGGTCATTAATACGATCCATCTAGACGTCATATTATGTGGTTGGCTCTAAATAGTGCCATCTTGCAAATATCCAGGCCGGCTTTCTTTCATGGTCTAAGACATGGTGGGTTCGAGTGAAACATAAATCAAGCAAACACTCCGATCTGACATAATGGGTTCCATTCCCTTATCATTCACCTGCAGACGTATGGATCAATTCCTTAAATGTTGTCAAATTTTCTGTTGCAACTCTACATCATGCAGTCCATGGTTAGTACAATTATCCTCCTCAACATATGTAGCGCGATGTTTAAAGGCAGAGCTACTCTACTATTTTTGTTTCATCACCACCATGATATAATAAGGTTATATTTTTTTCTCCATTTATTGGCCTCAGGTTCTTTTATTTTAATTTGTTTAATCACCGTCCACTGCCTTCCAGGGGTTCCAGCTGGCACACTCGCTGGGCGGCGGGACGGGGTCTGGCATGGGCACGCTGCTCATCTCGAAGATCAGGGAGGAATTCCCTGACCGCATTATGAACACCTTCTCCGTCGTACCCAGCCCGAAGGTAAGCCGGGAATACCTTGCTTGCCTTTGCTTTTCTTTCACTTTCTTCCTTTATTAATTTATTTACCATGAAAATTCGTTCTACATATGTTATTAGGATAGCATCCTAGTGCACATCACAGGTAAAAGCAGGTCTCGCAGTACGAAATACTCCAACAAATCGCGGACCACAAACCGTAGACCTTCGGCAACGTTTTCGCAATTTTACCTCGGGTCCACTTACTGCTTGCATCATCGTGAAAACAATGTAATAAATTTCATTTATCGTGAAGTCTACAACCTTAGCATGATATTATACCATGTGGACGATGTGTGTGTGTGTGTGTGTGTATTGATAGATAGATAGATAGATAGATAGATAGATAGATAGATAGATAGAGATAGAGATATTATATATATATATATATATATATATATATATATATATATATATATATATATATATATATATATATATATATATATATATATATATATGTAAGAGAGGATCTCCATCCATCATCTAAGCGGCTCGGCTCCATATAGCACCAATGACGTTAATAGATTCATAAAAACCGATTAGCTTAGCTGAGAGACTTCCTTGGTGTTGTGGGAAGTAATCTTGTAAGAAAGGGAAGCGGAGGTGTGGCCTCCACTGCAACCGATGAGGTAATTACTGATCCATTATTTTAATTAGTGGGATATTGATTCGACGTAACCTTTTCCCTCCCCCCCCTCCCCCCTTCGCCGCCGTGTGCCGCAAGGGCCGTTTCCCTTCGCCTCTCTCTCTCGGGCGCCGCCTCCTTCCACGTACTCCCAGCCTTGCTCTCGTCCCCTTGCACTCCCGCCCACTCCCCTCCACCGATTCCAACTCTTGGACTATTTTTTCCATTGCTTAGACCACATTTTATTTTTTCATACGTTCATTTCCTTCCTCCGTCCATCCATAATACTTTTTCCTTCTTCTGCTGTCCTTTTTCGTTCTGTTGATGCCTCTGCTTGCTACTTCCGATATTTCTCCCTCCGGTTTCCTTCTTGATAGTCTTCCTCCTCTCTTCCTGTCTCCTATATTTCCTTTCCATACTTCTCTTCCGCATATTTCGTTCCCTTGCTATCCCTTCTTCTCTTCCTCTTTCAATTATTCCTCCAGTCTTTAGTTTCGTTTCTTCCTCCATTTCGTCCATGCGTATCCCTGGTTTTCCTTTATTTATTTCCCTTTACTGTCCTTTCATTCTTTATTTTTGCTTGTTTCCTCATCCATTCCTTCTGCATATTTCTTCTCTCCTTGTATCATTCCTTTTCCCATCCGCCATTCCTCGGTTCTCCATTCCTATTCCCTCCTCCTCCAACCCTTTCCCATATTTCTTCCCTCCCTTTATCTCCCTCTCTCCCTCCTCCCACCGTCCTCGACTCCTCTTCCTTCCCCCTTCTCCTCCATTTCTTCCTCATTCTTCCTCTTACCCTTTATCGCCCTCCCTCCTTCCATCGTTCTCCACTCTTCCTTCCCCCTACTCCTCCATTTCTTCCTCATGCTTCTCTCCCCTTGTCGCCCTCTCTCTCTCCTCCCATCGTGCTCCACTCTTCTTCCTTCCCCTTACTCCTCCATTTCTTCCTTCCCCCTACTCCTCCATTTCTTCCTCATGCTTCTCTCCCCTTATCGCCCTCTCCCTCTCCCCAGGTATCCGACACGGTCGTGGAGCCCTACAACGCGACGCTCTCGGTGCACCAGCTGGTCGAGAACACGGACGAGACCTACTGCATTGACAACGAGGCCCTCTACGAGATCTGCTTCAGGACGCTCAAGCTGGCCACGCCCACCTACGGCGACCTCAACCACCTGGTCTCGCTCACGATGTCCGGCGTCACCACCTGTCTCAGGTCAGTCTAGCCTCTACTTGCAATACTATTTTATCATTTCTATTATCACCATCATTATTTTTGTTGTTGTTGTTATTATTATTATTATTATCATTATTATCATTATTATTATCATTATTATTATTATCATTATTATTATCATTATTATTATTATTATTATTATCATTATTATTATTATTATTATTATAATCATCATCATCATCATCGTAAATATCATCATTATCATAATTATCATCATTATCATCATAATCATCATCATCGCCATCATCATCATCATCATCATCATCGCCATCATCATCACCATCATCATTATTATCATCATTATTGTTATTGTTATCATTACTATTATTATTGTTGTTGCTGTGATTATTATCATCATTATCATTATTATCACTGTTATTATCAATGTTACTATTATCATTATTATCATTATTATTATTATTATCATTATTATTAACATTATCATTATTATTATCATTGATGTTACAGCTGTTGTTATTATCATGGCCATAATCTTCTAGTTGAACCATTAATTCCAGGCGTAGGGATTCTCCTCTCGTTTCTTCTTTGACTTTCCCCCAAAAAATACGTAATATAGATTTTTTTCTCATAAGCGAAAGACTCAAACCACGCATCGTCTAATTGCTGTGGCCAAGCCTTCGTGAGTCGCTGTGAGTAACTCCGGCTGATATTACGGGCATTCGCAGAATCATTTGCGGGACTAAAGTTTCTTTTATAGCTTCTGGGGTCGCTTTCAGAGAATATACGTGTACATGCATACACATACATACATATAACTGTCCCACATGTACTAGGATACACACAGGCGCGCACACACACACACACACACACACACACACTTCTATATATAAGTGTGTGTGTGTGTGTGTGTCTGTGTGTGTGTGTTTGTGTGTGTTTGTGCGTGTGCATTTCATTATGGATATTGCTAAAATTCTTCAAAGCATCCTTCGCACATTCCCAAAAGTCAGCTCAGCCTAAGCGCGCTAGAGGGCGTCCCGAGCGCCGCGGGAATTGCAGTGGCGGAGGCGGAGACGGAGGGGCGGCCCTGATTAGAGGGCGAGGAACACAAAGTGAAAAGAAATAGCGGGAGGAGAAGGGCGGCCGAAGGAGATTAGGGCGAGCTAAAAATAATGTGAAATTTCATGATTGGACAATTAATGGATAAATAAATAAAAGTGTACAGGGTGCGAGGCTAGGGGAGCCGCCCTTCCTTTTAATCATTTCTTCATTTCCCTTTCCTCTTCCTCTTTCCTTTTTCCTCTCTTTTTCAGTTTCTTAACCTTCTTTCCTCTTTATTTGTTTTCTTTCTTATTTCACACATTTCCCCTTCTGAGCCTCCACTTTATTACCTTTCGTATTCAGTTTTCTTATTTTCTCTTCCTTCCTCCCTTTCGCTCCTTCCTTTCTTCCCTTTCCTTTTACCGTTTTTTTCTTTTTCTTTTCTTTCCTCATTTCCTTGAGATTCTTCTGACTCTTTTCATTGTTATTTCTCTACGTTTCCCCATTACATTTTCGTCTGTTTCTCCTTTCCTCCAACCTCAGTTCTCCTCTTTCTCTGTTCATCATTTCCTGTTTCCTCCTTCTGCCTTTCTTGTTTCTGCTTTCTCCTTTCTCCCTTCCCATCTCCCTTTTCCCATTTGCTCTATCTCTCCCCCTTTCTCACCGTTCCTTCTCCCCGTCTCTCCCTTTCCCCCTCTCCATTCCCCCTTCTTCCACTTTCTCCCTTACAACCTCTCCATTCCCCCTTCCTACTACTTTCTCC